TCCGGGACCGGCCTCAGCACGTCCTCAGCCACGGCCTCGTCCCGCCCGCAGCAAGGGTGCATCACCAGCAGGGTGAACTGCGAGGCCGGGGCCGACCCGGGGGTGGAGGGCCCCGCGCCCTCAGCGATCCCCTGCACCTCCGTGCTTGCTGGGACTTGGCCGGGGTCCCCGACCCCAGACCCCAGCACCGGTAAGGCCCGACCGCACTTCTCAAGCCCACCGACTCCGGACCCGCCGGAAAAGAAACACCCCACCTCCGAGAAGGCGCCCGACTGCGCCTGCGCGTCCGTATCCGAGCGTCTGCGTCTTCACGCTCTACCGCTTTGGGAACTCTGCGTCCGACTGGAGGGGCGGGGCTAAGAGGTGACAGACGGGCTGACTGCGCATGCGCAAATCGGTTGGGCCGATCCGCCGCTGAGGGGCTCAGGTGGAACCTTGTCAAGTTCAGCCAGGTGACTGTTTTTGCCTGTGCCTGCTGCATCTGAAACGTTTCAGAGTCGTTTTCTATTAGGGTTCCACCGTGTAAATTAACACTGCTTCTGAGCGATCTATGACTGGTGGCGTTAGGATGCTGATGACAGGCTAATTATAACTTGCCCCAAACTGCCTGAAATAGGAGACGCAAAGCTGTCACAAGCGGGCGCCACAAGCAGGAGTCAATTTACGTGGTCCACTACTTTGGTCCTCACAGAAGGCTCTGAAGGCCTGAAATACGGACACCTGAATACATCAACTTTGATAAAAGAGTCGCAGGACATTGAGAAGAAATACGTATTTTCCACACAAAAGGAATGCTTATTATTTACTTTTCCATCTAGGTTAGCCTGGGCAGAACATGATGGCTGCTTGACATGTGTGGATTCAGAGAAGCCTATGGAACAAGAGGCTAGGTTTACTATAGCTACACTATCATTCTAGATTAACTCACTTTCAGCCTATGCGTTCATTTCTTTCTCGTGCCTGAATGCTCTAGTTAGGAATTCAAGTACTAAGTTCAATAAAAGGGTGAAAAGTGGACATCTTTGTCTTATTCCACATCTCAGAGAGAAAGCTTTTTCCCATTCAGTATGGTTTTAGCTGGAGCTGCTCATGGCCTTTATAATGATGAAGTGCGTTTCTTCTACAGCCAGTTTGTTCAGAATTTTTAATCATGAAGATATGTTAAATTTTATCAGATGCCTGTTCTGTATCTATTGAGATATAATATTGTGTTTGTTCTTCATTCTGTTTTTGTGGCATATTGCATTTATTAATTTCTGTATGTTGAACTATTCTTGAATCCCTGGGGTAAATCCCACTTGATTAGCGTGAATAATCTTGAGACACTGTTAGGTTCAGTTTGCTAGTATTTTGTTGAGGAATTTTGTATTTGTGTTGTTATGGCTTGTATCTAGTTGTTCCCTCAAAGTCTCATGTGCTCATAGTGGGGATTTTCAGAGATGGTTTGATCTAGGTTGTGTGATACCGGGATTAAGGGTGCCAGGTACTAAATCAGTCCATTGATTGGTTTAGCCTAGTTCCGGGTGTGGATAACGGAAAGGCTCACTCTGGGTGTGTGTGTTGCACCACCCGAAAGGCTTGTAGCCTGAATGAACGAAAGGGAAAGGTGGGCTTGCTGCTTTCTGCTTTCTGCCTGCCCTGCCATGAACTGTTTTTCTTCTGCCATGCCTTGGAATCACTTGACTATGAACTGAAACCTCCACAAATTGTGAGGCAAAATAAACCTTTCCTCCTTTAACTAGTGAATGTGAGGTATTTGGTCTCAACAACGAAGAAGTAACCGACACATGTATTTATCAAAGGTATTGGCCTATGTTCATCAGGCATGCCCACTGGGTAATAGAGTTGGACAATCATTTTTATAAAAAAAAGTTCTTTTTCTTGATGTGTGCTTGTCTGGCTTTATTTTTGTAGGGTATTTCCAGTTTCATAGGAAGAATTTTAAACAATTCCCTCCTCTTCAATTTTTTGGATTAGTTCAAGAAGTATTGGTGTTAGTTTTTTAGTTGTATGATAGAATTTAACCAGTGAATCCATCCGGTTCTGACCTTTTCTTTGATGCTAAATTTTTAATTACTGATTTAGTGTTACCACTCTATGGATCCGTTAAGGTTTTCTATTTCTTCGTGATTCAATCTTGGTAAGGTATACATGTCCAGGAATTTGTCTATTTCTCTTAAGCTATGAATTTTTTGGGAATATAGTTGGTCATAACAACCTGGAACAATCCTTTCTGTTTCTGTGGTGTCAGTTGTAGTACTTTTTTGGTCTTTAAATAAAAGCTTTACTGAGCCACACTTATAAAATCTATCATTTAAAGTTTGCAGTTCCGAGTTTTCGTTATATTCAGAGTTGTGCAGCCATCACCACCCATTTCAGAAAATTTTCATCACAGACATAGAAACCCTTTCCATATTAGTATACCTCTCCCAACCCGCTGACAATCTCTAATCTATTTCCTGCCTCTGTGGATTTATTTCTTTTTAAAAACTTTTAATTTTAAAGAGGAAAAAAATAAAATTTCAAAACAACATAATAGGAGGATAACAATGGTTAATACATTGCATATTATCTTTAAGTTAGTTAGTGAGAGTACAAGATATAGGTATTTAGTTGTCCAAACAATATTAGCACAGATATTTCTTTTCAATGAACTAAAAGAAATTAGTAGAATTAATAGTATAACTGTCTTAGCTATTAGATATAGATATAGATATTTGCTTTTGCCTTCCTTTATTTCTCCATTCTCCATGCCAGATTCCCTTTCCTTTTGAAGTTTCTTCTCATTTTATAATATCTATTGTACGTTTTGGATTTATTTACTCTCTCAGCTTCTCACACTAGGGAGACAATGCATCTGGTTTATTTCACTTATGAATATGGTCTTGAGTTGAATCCATTTACCTATAAAAGTCTCCAGCTTATCCTTCCTTATGGTTGGGTAGTACTCCACTGTATAAAAGTAGCACATCTTTTTTATCCATCCCTCGGTAGATGGGCATTTGGGTTGTTTCCAAGATTTAGCTATGACAAATTGTGCTGCTATAAACATGGGTGCACATATATTGCTGTGGTATGATGTTTTCAATTCTTCTGGGAAGATACCCAGAAAGGGAATAGCTGGATTGAATGGGACCTCTAAACCTAGTTTTTTGAGGAATCTCCACACTGATTTCCACAGTGGTTGTACCAGTATACACTCCCACCAATAGTGGAGAAAGGTTCTTTTTTCCCCTCTGCCTCACCAGCATTTGTTACTGGTTGATTTCTTGATGATAGCCATTCTTTTTGGGGTGAGATGGAATTTCAGTGTTGTTTTAATTTGCATTTCTTGAATGACCAATGATGTTGAATATTTTTCATATATTTATTTGTCCTTTGTACTTCATCTGAAAAGTATCTATTTCAGATGCCCAGTTTTGGACTGGGTCTTTGAATTTGGGAGAGGCTGATTTTTTGACTTCCTTGTATGTTTTTGATAGTAATCCTTTGTCTGAGGAACAGCTGGCAAATATTTTTTCCCACATTGTGGGTTGTCTCTTCATTCTGTTGGTGGTTTGTTTTTAAGGTGAGATCCCAGTTGTTGATTCTTTGTGATAGTTCCTGTGTGATCGGGTTTAATTCATAAAGTTTTTGCGTACACCAATGTCTTTAAGGGTTTTACCTATTCTATCTTCTGGCAGATTTAATGTTTCTGTTTTTTTTTTTTTTTTCCAGTACCGGGAACCAAACTCATGACCTTGTGCTTGTCAGGCAGGCACTGTGCCGCTGAGCTAAATCCCCAGCCCCCAGATTTAATGTTTCTGATTTAATATTTATATCTTTGATTCACTTTGAATTTAGTTTAGTGCATGGTTGAATATGGATCCAATTTTAATGTTTGGCATGTGCAGAGCCAATTTTTCCAGCTCCATTTACTAAAGAAGCTATCTTTCTTCCAGTGAATGTGTTTGGCACCTTTGTCAAAATTAAGGTGGCTGAGTATGTTGGGAGTTGTTTCTGCATCTTTTAATCTGTTTCACTGATCTTCAGGTCTGTTTGTTTTTGCCAGTAACTTGCTGTTTTATCACAGTAGCTTTGTAGCATAATTTCAAGTCAGGGATTGTGATACCCCCTGCCTTGCCTTTGTTGCCGAGAATTGCCTAGGCTATTCTAGGTCTCTTCTGGTTCCAAATGAATTTCAGGATTGTTTTCTCTAATTATGTGAGATGTATTTTTGGAATTTTGGCCAGAATTGCATTAAATCTGCATGACAGTTTTGGAAGTATGACCATTTTACTATATTGATTCTTCCTACCCAAGTGCAAGGGGTATCATTCCATATTCTGATATATGTTTTAATCTCCCTTTTCAGAGTACTGTAGTTTTCAATGTAGAGGTCTTTTACATCCTCTTAAATTTCATTAGACTGATTTCATTACATTTCATTACATCCTTTTACATTTCATTGGACTGATTTCTAGGTATTTCATTTTTTTTTTTTTTTGGATGCTATTGTGAAAGATGTTGTCCCCTAATTTCTCTCTCAGTACATTTGTTATTCATGTTGTTATGGTTTGTGCCTGGATGTCCCCACAAAGCTACATGCAGTCATGGGGCAGGCTTCTAGAGTTTATGATTGATTCATGGGTGTGAGTGCTACTCCTACCCTGGGGCAGGTAGTGTGCATAAAATGTAAGGGAGGGAAAGAGGCTGCTTGCCACCACTTACTCCTTTTTGCTCTTAATGCTTTGCTGTTTTCTGCCACCATGAACGGTTGCTCTGTGCCATGTACCACTCTGCCTTGGAGCCAGCCGAGGACAGAAACCTCCACAAACTGTGAGCAAAATAAACCTTTCCTTTCTTAATTTTAGGCATTAGGTATTTTGCCTCAGCAATGACAGAAAAGTCACCAAGACACATGTACAGAAAAGCTATTGATTTCTGAGTGTTGATTTTGTACCCAGCTACATTACTGAATTTCCTTATTAAATCTAGCAATATTTTTAGTGGAGTTTTGGGGTCTTTTATGTAAAGTATCATGTCATCTGTAATTAATGGTAATTTAACTTCTCCTTTTCCTATCATTATTCCTTTTATTTCCTTTTCTTGTCTAATTGCTCTGGCTAAAGTTTCTAGGACTATGTTGAATAAGAGTGGAGACAGTGGACAT